AGGTAAATATGCTTCCAGGTTACAAATTAATCACAAGAATTCAATTAACAGAATTCACAAATAAGCAACCAAGCAATAACCGTGCATAAACCAGTAAGGATACCAAATCTAACCTAACGGAGAGTTTGGAATAATCTTACCAAATTACTATTGAAAAACAGTAAATATACCACCAAATTTCTGAACCTAATTGCGATAGACGTCAAGCCAGGGGCAAAATCGTCCAACTTTTTCTGTAAAACCTGAAACAGAAAACAAACGACAGCAGTGCGTTCAGGACGTCAAAATAAGTAAACTGCCCGAAAAAAGCTCGCCGGAGGTCCAGCCACGCTCCGCCACATGCGCCGCCGCGGGTCACGCGCCCCACCACAGGGTGCGCCTCCTCCTGCTGGTCATAGTTCCATGGTCCATTTCGCCGGAAAGTCAATAGGTTGGCCGGAAATCAAGTTTTTCAGATTCGGTTAGAAAGTGGCAATGGCGATTCCTTGCTGGTTTTTGATCGATTTTGGACTAATATCACTCCTCCTAGCTCTGATACCAGTTTGTTGGGGATCCTAGGAGTTCAATCAACCAAAACATCAACCAATAGACAAGATTCAAGGCAAAACAAAGAAAAAAGGGGATGGAAAAATACAACCTGTGTTCGGCCGAAATTTCTGCAGCTTTCTTTCTTCGTTTCAGCAGCTTCTTCTTCGATTTATGGGTGTTTTTCAGGCTCAGGAACAGCCTTCCATGACTTGCTAATTACCTTCCAAGAGAGAGGGGAAAACCAATGAAGAACCACCACCCTTTGCTAAAAAACGAGAGCTCACTTTCAGCTGGGAGAACAAAACCGAGAGCTACTCTACTTCAAATGGTAGAGGGTAAGTCTACATAAGAAGGAAAGACCATGCCTCTGCCAAAAAACGTGGGAAGACCTTATTGTGTCAACATCAATACCATCAAGTCACAAGTTGATAGTGTTGGGTGAACCATATCCTCACAAACATGAAGCTCTGTTTTCCCCCTTCTTACAGATGAAGAAATGTGCACGTCTAAGGCTTTGAAAAGGCCAAGATTCAAGTTGAAACGCTGTTGAAAGAGTGAGAATAGGCAGCGAATCAGAGGAATTTCGGTTGGTGAGAAGCGTAGAGTAGCAATTGGAGTGGATTTAGTACATGTACCTGCAGTTGAACCCACATCAGGACTTAACTCTACCTCAGCACTTCATGCGATGTTGCTGCGTAAATTCATGTCCGAGAACCAAGATAAGACTATTGTGTTGACCATCCACCAACCCGGAATTTGAATTCTCGAGTTAATGTACAAAGTTAATATTGTCATCCAATTGTGTTTCCCTTATAATATTTCCTTGAATCTCCTGGAGGAGTGGCTTCAGTCCCAAGGCCATTGCATCCCTCGACATGTCAATGTGCTTGAATTTGCCATTGATGTAATAGAGAGACTGCACAAAGTGGAAAACGATGCTGGAAAATGCAAAATGGAACTAGAATATGAACGTATCATAGAAAACTCAATCTTTGGTCGCATGAAAGGAAGTCATATCTCATACTGCAATTCTCCAATTAAAGAGGTACTGATCCTCAGCCAGAGATTCTTCAACAAAATTATCAGAACTAAACAACTTTTCGCAGCAAGGACAATTCATGCATTGTTAGCCGGAATTGTATTAGGGACGATATTCTTGAATGCTTTTAATAGATTGAAACTGCAAAATCAAATCTCTTGGCCTTCAGCCTGACCTTCTTGATGTCATCAACAACAGAAGCACTACCAATTTCTTGCAAGAAAGGAGAATTTTAATTAGAGAGACAGCCAGAGGAGCCTACAGAGTCTCTCCTTACATTATATCAAACACTCCAGTATTCTTACCTACTCTGCTTGTAGTATCTATTCTCTACACAACCCCGGTTTACTGGTTAGTCGGGATGAGGCACGAAATTGATGCTTTCCTCTATTTCTCTCTAGTGGTCTGGATGACTGTGTTAGTGTCAAATTCTTTTATAGTCTACTTCAGTGCACTAGTGCCAAATTTCATCGTTGGAATGTCATTGATGGCTGGAGTTATGGGCTCTTTTTTCCTTTTCTCAGTGCCATATCGAAGGATGCCATACCCAACTGCTGGAATTTCATGGAATACTCAAGTCTGTTCAAGTATTCATTTGAATACTTTATGATAAATGAGTTCGGAGGAGACCAGTGAAAATCGAGATGCTTAGAAAGTATTGAAGGTGCGTGCCTATTCTATGGTGAGCAATTCTTGAAAAAGCAAAGCTTGAAGGTGTCACATAATTCTGTGGTATTGAACTTACATAAGCAGAAGCTAAAGATGCTCTACCCAAATTTACTAGTTTAGGCTGCTAATTGTTTAAGATTATGTCTCTGTTCATAGAAATGCTTCAAAACTGGTAGAAACTCTGCCTTTTGCCCTACATTCAGTTCTTTTTATGAGTGGATTTCAACTCAAGATGTTCCATACTGTAAATAAAATCATCTGCAGCATTCTTATTGAGAGTTGACACTCAAACTCTGAAGGTCTATGAATGGAATAAAACATGAAATATTTTTCTATTATTGGGGAAAATTAGATATACTTCCAAAACAAAGACTGACAAAGTTTATTAATTCAGATTTCTAGGGGAAAAAAAACCTCTTTGATATAATGATCCAAAATGGAGAAAAATAAATTAGCCAAGAGTTGACTATAAACTATCACTTTATTTTTATATTGATGCCTTTGATGTACCGAGGATTAAAAGATATAATCCCATGTCATTTAAATACAATAATAATAAATTAAAAGGTAGATTACTTCCTCTTAAGAAAATTAGAACTTACGGATACAATCCATTAGACCGATATACTCGATCAACCAATACATCTTGCCTCTATTTGATCATGTAGTTTTAAAAGTTGATAAAATTTTAAGTCAAAGTCAACAGTGAAAGATAACACAACTATTTATTCATAAATTTCATTAACTTTTATCAAAATTTACTAAAAATCAATTTTTTTTAACTATAACAAACATTATTCTATTTGAAATTGCAGACATATTCTCAAAATAATAATCAGCCTATTTGTTAAATAATTATTTGCTTGGTAATGGATGGTTATTTGCTTGGTAATGGATGGAATATGGTATAATTGATCTTCTATCCATAACGGGTAGGATAAAATATATTCATAGTTGAAGTAGCAACATCTTTATTGAGTCCATAATTTTTTACAATTCACGTTGAATTGCAAAAATTATAAACGTCATGTCAATGATGAACAAGATAATTTCTCTAAGTAGTGTTCAAGATAATGATAGTGTTTATCATCCTGGGATTTCTAAGGCAGTGACACGTGATGATGATGGTACAAAAGATGTTGAAAGGTAATGGCTAGGAAGATAAACATTTAAAAGGGGGGAAAAATAAAAAAAAATCTGCACGAAGAATTACTGCCCCTTTAATCTTATCTTCACGAACATTAGGCATAATATTCTCTACGTAACGAAGAATTATACCCCAAATCGACATGCAGTCCAAATTTCCTCAGTTTCAGATTTCAGAGAGCCATACATTTGTCAGTATGTCACCTTCAATCCCCCATAGGTGTCCTTTGAAAAGTAAAACTATCAAATCCAGGCATTGTCGCGGCGTACAGATAATGCATCCATGCACCCTATAAATACGGCGTACTACTCCATGCACGTAAGCATTCAAATCAAATTCCAACTGATATCAAAAATGGAGAAAACGATGATGTTTTCATTCTTCCTTGTTGCACTACTCTCAACAAACTTCTTCACAGGTTCTTCTGAGCCAGTGCTCGACACGGAGGGCCATCCAGTTCGACCCGGCGTCAAGTACTACATACTTCCACCTTACCCCGGCGCAGGTTCCGGCCTCACTTTAGCACCCAACAAAGGCAAATGTCCCTATGAAATCGTTCAAATTCTGAGCGAACCAGCCAATGGCCTTCCGGTTACCTTTTCCTCTGCCAATGCACACGACAAAACTATCCAACTCAACACTGATTTGAATATAAAATTCACTGATTTCAAGCACACGACGCCATGCCACGAATCCAAGGTCTGGAAATTCGACGCCAGCAAGCAACAATTCGTGACAGTTGGTGGAGTTGAAGGGAAACCTGGGCCTGAAACTTTGCCCAACTGGTTCAAGATTCAGAAGGAACATAAAGACTATAAGATTCAGTACTGTCCGACTGTTTGCAAAAAGTGCAGGGTTATCTGTGGAGACGTTGGTCCGGTAATCTACAATAACAAAAAACATTTGGCTGTAAAAGAATCCCCTCTCAGCGTTATCTTCAAGAAGGCATAGAAAATTTAATACTATATAGCAAAAAACTATGTAATGAGAGGAGCTTTTTTCTTTAGTATATGCATGCACATGTAATCTTTATGAAGTAATGGAATAAAGGAGCTTTAATCCATCTTTGTCAGTTGCCAACAAAGATTTTAAAACAGAAAGCGATCAAATTCAGTGTCTATTCTTTAGTTTCTTTAATTTATAATTATCGCAAGTAAAAAGTTAGATTTCACTATTTTACTCCTTAATTTTTCTAAATTAAAATTGGTTAGCCGTGGAAGAGAGTAGCTGCGATTGTTTGAGTTCTATTAGTTGAGGATGGTTTGGTAAGTTGCCGGCCCAACGCGATAAAGAATAAAGAAGTAATGCTTGATCCCACCATTGACATATAAAAAGAATATTTTAAATAAAATATGATGAGAAATTAATAAAATATTTTTTTAAAAATTAAAATGAAGAATCAAATTTTAATAATAAAGCTTAAATTTAGTTTAAGCATGTCAAACAAAGTTTAAATTAATACATTTCGTAGAAATTATTTTATCAAGTTTGAAAAACTTCTTGTGTCTTAATTTGGATTAAAATCTAAATTTTAATATAAGTTAAAGTTAGCTGTATATTCTATTGGTCTCATAATTTTTCAATCACATCACCAAACAAAGGCATATAGTTCAATCTCTAGACAATTTGAATTCAACGTAAGAAAAGGTTTGGAAAATTCATCTTTCGTTAAATGTGTATATTTGGGAAATTAAAATCCCCTATAAATGAAATTAAAAGTTGACAAGGGAATATTAGGTACTTTACATTTAAAAAAATTTATAAATTTATCGTCAAATTAGTTTTTCATTATTATTATTTTCTTGGTTTTCTTGAATTTTGAAATTTTCTTGGTTTTTAGGGAAAACTAGCATATATATATTTTTTTTCATTTTTTTTTGTTGGCAAAGTTAACAAATTCTAAAATTATTGTAAAAAAATATTTCTCTTTAATTGACAATTTCCATATAAAATAAAGACAAACAAATATCAAAAAATAGATGATTTTCTTGATTTTTTTCTTTTTTTTTGGGAGATGGAAACAAGTTTCATCCCCAATACCAGTAAAATTTATTCCTTTAATTAACAATTTTCATGTAAAACAGAGCCCAACGAACACCAAAAAAACTTTTATTTCAACATTTTCCACGTGAAAAATTATACCAATCAAACACAATAATTTACGATTCTCAGAAAAATAATTTTTAGGCAATTCAATTCCCTGAAATTTGTTTTCAATTCAATTCAATTCTATCTTTACAATTAAACGGACCCTAAATAAAAAAAAACAATGAAAAAATTGCTTGTATGATCTAAAACTAATCGAGAGAGAAAGAGGCAACTCAAGTAGAAATTAACAGTCTAACAGGCAAATGACGATTGCACGATTTGTGATTTGGAATCGTATTTTGTTTAGCAGTGATAGGTAAGTCTCAACTATTTAAGAAATGAGAGTCTAGGCCCTTGTTTGAGTTACATTATTTTCCTTAAAATGAATTTTTGAATAGTGTATTGATGAAAATGTGTGGTTAAAAAATAAAGAAATATTTTGAATTTGCGTTTAATATTATTTTACTGAAAAATGTGTGATTAAAATAATGTCAAATCACTATTTAAAAATATATTTTTTTTGAAAAAATGTGGCTCAAACATGCCCTAGGTCAGGACTTGTAAAGCTTTGGACATAATTTGTTGCAATAGTTTTGTTGAAATATGATTTAGATTGACAAAAATATATGTTTTTTTTAATTTCATAAAATTTAGGAATAAATCTAGTATAATTCAGACATCGAGTCATGATGAGTGTTGCGGACTCCTAAAATCATGAGCCGATAATGATTAATGTAATTTATTTTATATGATTAATTTAATGTGATTATTGTAATTTGTATTGTTAAATTGGTATTTTTTCTGAAAAGTGAGAACCGAAAAATTTATAAGTTAAGAAAATTAATTTTTTTAATTAAAAAATAAAAAATGATTTGGCTCGATTTTGTGCGATTTTCAAAAATTAAAATTTAAATCAAACAATTTTAAAACTGTTTGGTTCAATTTGAAGGGAAAAAATCCACGTAGATCCAAACTTGGATTTCTCAATTTTTTTTTGTACAGTCCTAACCAAATGTGCAATGGCATTTTGGTCACTTCCCATAATATTATTTCCCACAAAAAAAAAATTAAATTAAAAAGTAACAAGGGGTATTTTTGTCAATTTATCGCCATCCATTTCAGGGTTGCCCTTATCTTTATTTTTATTATTTATTTTTATCATAAGGAGCGCCCTCATCAAATCCAATTATCCAACTACTCCTACTGTCAGTATAGACTACTTTTCATTTCGCCGGCATAATGCGGTGGTGCAAAGAACATGAGTGAGGTTATCTCCCGTTTTGTTAACAGTCGCAGTGTAAGGGTTTGATTTCTGAGACATTGAATTGAACTTTTTGTAGGCGCAGTGTACATACAATTTTTATTTTTTGATCTACTGTGACATATTCCGCGATTTAATTCCTCACGAAACTCTAAAAACGGGACTCAAGTTGGGATTCAACCTTTTTTTTAGACTAGCATTCATTTCTCCTATATCACCAACCTTAATGATTTTCTAGTCCCTTTAAGCAACTCAAAAGCTGTAAAACCCTGATGGCGGTGGCGGCGCCTACCACTTTCTCATCCTCCACCACCACCTCTTCCGCCTTATCCAAATTCTTCAAGCCATCAAACAAAGTTCCTGCTCTCAGCTTGGGCTTCCTTTCATCATCTACCCAGTCGCTTAATCGGCTTCGCGCTTCAGCTTCTCGAGCCGGGGCTTCACCTGCAGGTTCGGTTCTCTCGGCTCGCATGGTCTCGACTCCCACCATTAAGCGACCTGCTTCTCTCGATTTCGACACCTCCGTTTTCACCAAGGAGAAAATCAACCTTTCTGGCCACGATGAGGTCCTTATATTTATGCGTGTTTATATGTATATATATAAGCATATATGAATGTGAATGTAGTTCATTTTATTTGCTAATTCTTTTATTTCAACTTTGGTCTCAAATAAATTAAGGTGCAACGAGTACAAATATTGTGAATGTCTTTGAATTTCGTACACTGTTGTGGCCGAACGTAATTATGCTGCAATTATAGTTCGTCTCCTAAAAGAAAGATTTTACCTTTTATATCCTCCGTCCTCAAAACGAACGTGAATTTGTTTGGATTTAGGGAGTGCTATGGTTTTTATTTTATAAAGCTAAATAAGGTAAAGCTATGTCTTCTTTTGTTAGGTTGGTAATTATCCTGTCATTATGAATTTACAGAGACAACAATGAACCACATTTTCCTTATTTCAGCTATATGTCCATGAGAGGTTCGTCCCCTTCTGTGTCTATATATGAATGTGCTTGAATTAATGGATCAGGTGTATTTGCTTTTCTTATTACTACAAGAAATAATAGAGCATGTCATAACTCAACTTGCAATGTAATTTCAAACGAAAAGTTGCATGTTGTTCCTGAAGGATGAAACCATGCTAGATTAATTTCTTGAGCTGACCACCACTATATCTTTTTATATATATTTATTGCATGAGGTTTATGTCGAGGTAATGTGGGATCTATGGAATTGTGTGTTGATGTGGATGACTGAGCATGCTGTTTATTTTGTATGCAGTACATTGTGAGAGGAGGAAGAAATTTGTTCAAGCTGTTGCCTGATGCATTCAAGGGTATCAAGCATATTGGGGTGATCGGATGGGGCTCCCAAGTATATTTATCTGTTGATTGCTCCACAATTTTTTATTTTTATTGAATTTATTTCTTGTCCAGTCGTATCTTTTATCCCTCATTGATTTATCTTGTGCATTCTTTGGTTAATTTTGTTGTGCTTAGCAATTGAATTAGCCACTATTCTGTTTCGATTGTGAAATTTCTTAATTAGAATACTCATTCAAGTGATGGTCATTGGTTTCTATGCTAATGCTCCTTT